TTGCTGGCTGCACGCCTGCCTGCAAGCGAGGCAACCTCTGCTTAACGGCTGGCGTGCAGCATCGCACGCCAATCGAAATTGGTGTGCGGACCCGCACGCCAACCTGCTGGGGGAATGCCCGCGCAGAGGGTTGGAGTGCGGACCCACACTCCAATTTCAATTGGAGTGCGGTCCCACACTCCCTTCAGAGAAGGGAGTGTTGGAGTGTGTGTGCGAAGGGGGGTGGAGTGTGATTATCACTCCCCTAAGCAAAAGTTAGAATATTATTTCAGATTCTTAATTCTCATGCAAAATAACCTAGGATACCTCACCAGAAGTACCCCTGAATTATTACTCCTTCAGGTACTTCTGTGTACTCTGAGTGACACTTGCTCATTTTGCTAAAAACCCTCCCAGTTACATCATACCACATGTTGTGACAGGTCTACACATGTAATTAAGGTTCATGCAGTTCGGGAAAAATCTACAAATAAGGTTGACATCATTGAAACCTTAACTACATTGTCACAACAACTGTAAGTGGCTGGTCTAAAGCCATTTGTGGCCCTTTTTGGCCCAATTTGGCTAACTACGCCTGGTTAAGACCAGCCCACTGGTCATTAAAGGGTCCCAGTGACCAAACCATGGCTGCAGGCTCGTCACAGCACCCCTTAATGTGTTTTACAAGCCTCACTTCAGCCCTCTGCCACCTGTAACCAAGGACTACAGGTGTCTAGGCAGTGCTACAGGTCACCAATGCCTAGTAGGAGGCTTGCATCAGCCAAACAGAGTTCTGATTTTGCCTCCAAGGGCCCAGAATGAGTATATAAGGAGCCCTTCTTGACCAGGAACTCAAATTCCCCATCTTCATTACCACTTACCAGAAATAACCACCTCCAACAACCAGTTTTTCACCTGTTTTTGGCCCAGTTCCTGCTGTTTCTGTCTTGGATATCACCAACCCAACCATCAACTGTTCCCCAGCACTCTTCCAACACCTGTTACCGAGTTTTCTGAGCGCTCCCAGACCAGTTTTCACCCACCTGAAGTCCCCTTGGCTTGGAAATAGTACTAAGTAGGTAATATTTCCTTGATACTTCAGTTGTAGGCATTTTGTCTGGGCATACTCCTTTACACAAAGGACCAGATCATCAGGTACATCAAAAATACCCCTGTTTAACAGGTCCTGATTCCTTGGAGGGCACCATAAAAACCCCGGTAACGCAGGCCCCTCCTTTTATAAAAACTTAACAGTTTTTATTATTTCTTTTCTTAATATCAATTACCTCCCTTGTCAGCCTCTGGGTAACTAACCTGAGTATTTAATAGTAAAAAGGTTGTTACTATGAGTTGACTGAAGTTTTGAGCGTGGTGAGTGTTAGGTAGTGGGTGATTAATACCTGTCCTGTAAAGAGGAGGTTTCACTCTATCAGTATGGTCTTTACTGAGAGGCTTGCTATCAACAGCGCATCCGGATCAATACAGGGTATTAATAGGCATCCAGGGTACTAAGACTCACCTGGGATTGATTTGGTTATTCCCAAAAGGGAATGGGCTAACAATACTTATTAAGCTTTAACAAAATTAGTTGAAGATTAACAGGTATTGTTGATGGGAATATTCAGCAAGGCTATGAATACTGTGGATAAGTTGAGTAAGAGTACTGAAGCTTAAGAACAATAAATGTAGACAAGATTTATGTTGGTTACGTGTACTGTATCAATATAAATGTTAACTGGTTTAACTGGTGTCTGAATATTCTGGGGATTAATCAGTGAAAGAGGCACGGATTATAAGTTCCAGAATATTGAAGGGGGGAAAGAATGAGCGCTCAGAATCAAGGGAGCTTTGGCCAGGAGAATGAGCACATCAATTGAGTGACTGATCATTATTTGTCATGATCTGTAAGTGACATCATAATTGTGTACTAGTTCATCAATGTACTAGTAGCTCTTGATGCGTGTACTTAACAGATCCTCTAATAATGTAGTCATAATTGTGATCAGTGCATGTATTGAATGTATTAATTCTATTGACACTTAATACTTATTATTTAATACATGTACATATTTATTTGTAATAATATTTGACCGTGAAAATACTGTAGCAGCAACGCTGGGCCGCTACACTAACCGTAGCGGTTAGTGTAGCGTAACGCAGCGGAATCGCTGTTAGCGATTAGCGTAGCGTAGCGGAATTCCGCCATGACACCGCTAACGCTACGCGTGTGGGCCGCAAAAAAGGGCCCACTACGCTGCGCTACAGCGGTTTTTAGCGGTTTTTGGCCGCTTTTTCCGCTAAAAGCGCTGTAGCGCAGCGTAGCGTAGCGAAAAACCGCTAAAAAACCGCTAACACTACGGTTTTTCGATGAAAAAAAAGCGCCGCTACGCTACGCTTTTTGGGCCAAAAGCGTAGCGTAGCGTAGCGGCCCACCGCTGGTAGCAGAGGGATAACTTGTGGTACAGGTATTTCACGGACAAGGGAGTGAAAGGTAAGTGATAATTACTTATGTAGAACACAGGTATGTATTTAGTAGATAAGTAATTAACAGATAAGATAACTGTAAGATAAATAAGGTAAGTTAATAATAATGATAAGATAACAAGAGGTAAAGGTAATCAACATTATGGATAAGTACTTATGTACATAAGTACAGGTGTTGCAGTTACTTGGTACATGAAAGGTACTGTGACATGTACTCTGTGGCTGACATCCCTATTCAAAGTGTTACCCACACTTGTACACCATTTTTCTTAGCTTTGCACCTGGTGTAGCTAGAAGAGTTTAGCTCTTGGCATCACCCAGGCTGACAACCTGTTACACAACATAACAGTTTCTTTTATGAGCAATTATATATTGAACCTTTACCTTTCATCAAATCAAGTTTTTACCGGAACTGACCAATCCTATCACATTGTTAAAACTTTCCAAGCTAAGCTTGGGGGTCTTGTTTCTGATAGTATAGAAGGGCAGAGTTTGCACCTCCATTTTTCCCCTTCTCAATTCAGCAAAAAGGTTTCACAACCACTTTTGAGTCTTACAACGGAAAGACTAGCATCTGTGAAGGACGCTCATGT